TAATCAGTCACAAGAACATCGAATCTGAATCACTTGAAAAAAACACTGGGGTGCCTAACTTTTTTCCAGGTGTATATTATCTTTTTATTGGTTATAAATAGTCCAATAACAAATGCTGAGAGAGTTATTCAGATTTGTTAAAGACAGCATATTATAAGAGGGGCATGGCATGCGAGTTTCATAAAACCCACTAAAGGAAGAAGAACAAGCAATATCAGTTTTCATTTTAACTCAGGAATACCTAATTTATAAGGTGTAAGTCCTCAGAAACTAAGGGAATAAAATAGGTGTGGAAAAAATTCTAAAATGCACAATTTGGAGAAAAGAAGTGTCACGTGATACATAAAAGTGAATATTGAGAGTTTATTTAAATACTTTTTGAAATCAAGAAATTAAAACTTATATAATATTAAAATTCGAATTATAAACCACATTTTTATGGCAAGTTTATTGACATAAATCGATAAAAGTTGTTTAATTAAATTTTTAATGTAACCCTAAAAAGATTGAGACATGTGCACTTTGACCTACCTGTACTACAAGGTTAATAGACATTGGTCTGTATAACGTCTAGTAACCAAAACACTGTACTAAAAACAAACAGTTTTTCAAGTCAATCTTTAAAACACCCACCAGTATTCAACAGTTTTCTCTTTTTTAAGAATGATTTAACCTCTTCAGTCTTACTTATTTTATTTACAGCCCTGATGTACAAAAAGAGAGATATTTGTCAAGTAATAATTTCAAAAACTAAACAGCAAGGCAAGACATTAAAATACTCAAAAAACAGTTTAATCTCTATTGTATTATTGTATTTCATTAAAATATAATAAATGATTCATTATGAATGTTAATCAGTGTCTTCTGTCACTGTTAATGCTCAAGTTAGCCAATTTTGAGTTTATTATGAAAGTATATTAATAGTGCAACATCAATATGCAATAATTTTACTTTGAAAGTACAGTAATATTGCAGGAATTTTAGTTAAACAGTATACCAATAAATTGTACTAGACAGTGTAGTAAATATACTACAAAACTATAATAATTTCACTGCAATACAAGAACAAACATACTACAGTATTTTTACAATAAAATAGTGACACCTAAGTAATTTTACAATAAAATAGTAACACCTAAGTAATTTTATTATAAAAGCTGAATTACGTTTTCTATAAAAACAACGATAATACTACAGTAAGTTTAATATAAAAATAGTAGTAACACTGTACTAATTTTTCTATAAAACTAAAGTAATTTTACTAAGAAAGTACACTGATATTACTGTTTTCTATGAAACAATATCTAAGTAATTTAACTATAAAAGTGCTGTAAATACACTAAAATTATAGTAACTTCTTTGTAAGAAAAAAGACAAAAATTATACAATAAAGATTCCAATTTTTTATAGCAATACTACAGGACTTTTTCATAAGGGTAATAATATACTATACTTACAAGTTCAATTCTTCACAATCACATTCTATTCAAATCATTACAATATAAAAATAATCTAATAATTAAATTAATGCCCCTAAGACACTTTAAAGTAATGAACATAATCTTCTAATTTTATACCACTGAGTATAGCATTATAACATTATAAACCAAAAAGAAATGTCATAAACTACATGTAATTATAAACCATTGAGTATAACTCAATTTTTCATTCATTTACAATATGTACTTATGTCAAACAATTATGTAATGATTAATATCACTAAGCAAAATATACTAACTTCAAACCTTTGAGTATATTAAATAATTTTAGACAACTGAACAGCATTCTTTTTAAACCAGTATGGAAAATGATATATGAACTAATTACAATCACATTACATTAAACAACTTTACTATGAACCTTTCACTATTCACACTCAAGTAAAATATCTAGAAAATTAAAAACTTACTTTCATCATTCAAAATACAGAGTTATTATTAGGTATTAAAAATTTAAACTTACTTTGACCATGAACAATATAATTTTAAATCAGTAAGTACAAATAACTGTACTAAGGGTTTAATATTAAAAAAAGGCACATACTCATTCATAATGCACATTTACTTTTAAACCAGTTGGGTAAACAACTTCATTAAAATCTTTCTGAATTGGTGTACATAATTATTTTAAACCAAGAAACAGGTGAACTTTGGAAATCACTGATTCATTATATGGACTTACTTTATACCATTTCGTAATACTTCAGTCTTATGTAGACAGTTAACCAAAGTCTCATAAAGAGGAAGGCACATTCCTTCTAGGAAAAAAATCTGAAATAATAAAACATTTCCAACTAACCACAAAATTCATGTTTATACACACATCCTGAATGCATTATTTGCCTATGTAGTAACTGCAGTTGTTAATAAGTGCCTTAACCAATGGACAAGAAGTCAGTAACATGGACTAACCCTGTATCTGTGAAGTTGTACATAATAATGTTTACTATAACTATAAAAAAGTGTATCTTTACAAACTTTGGAAGGCTTTTAGGCATTACTGCCAACTCATCAAGTCCAGCTCTAGTCACAACATTACAAATATATATATATATATTATTGCTATTGAAAAATCCCAAAGAGTGGCTAGAATAATATTTGTAATTAAATGTATATCATGCAAAGACAAGTTAAAACAATTTAATCATTTTAGTCTGAAACCAAAAAAGGCTTTTTTAAGATTTAAACGAAGCATTTATTTATAGAAAGAGTTGTGAATGTATGAAACAAACTGCTAAACTGATCCTTAGTAAATATTATTAGTGAGTTAAATGTAGAAAAAAAATCATATTTAAAAAAAGTCTCTAATACAGATTTATCTGTGAAGTTATGAATCTTTTACTGAGATAGTCTGAGTGAAAGATGATTTTAATGCTAAAAATAAAAAGAGTTCTTTTCATTTTAAGATTTTCATATTTCACTTACATAACCTCTTGGATCTCCTAAATGAATATCAAATTTTTCTGTGGTAAAGCTTTATATTTTATCTTTTATTTCTCAACCCTTACATAACTGTAGCATTATAATTAATGTATAGTGAAATGAAAAATCTGAAATAGAATCAGTAATAATTTTTTCCCCACAATGGCTGTAGATTGTAACAGACTATTATAATTATTTATCTTAACAGTCCCAGCTCTTAACTTTTTTCACATCTGCTTTCTTTTAATTTTATGTTTTTTTAACTATCACAGAGGTAGAGCTTAGGGTAAATAAATGATCAGGTTACAGTCATGTGCTTACCTTGAGCCTAAATAGATTCCCAATCAACTGATCCCATGATATTTCACCTAAGTTCTCTTACCTAAGAAGTTTCTAATTTCTACATTTTAGTTACTTATTTAAAATATATAAACAACAAATAAAAAATATATGTAAATACTAGCAATTTAACACTTGTGTCTAAGTTGAGACCTTTCTGTGCTTGGATGCCATAGGTTCAGTAAGCCTACTTTTTCTCACTATGTTGGTTATCCAAAAAATAGTTAATGTAGTTTTCTGATATGCACTTTAGAACACAAAAGTACATCAAAAATTAGAATAGAATGTTCAAAAACTATTATGAGATTTCCATGCCACTAGCCTTCAGCTAACTCCCACCAAAATTCAACTGAGCACCCACACACAAGTGGTTGGTGAGTCAAGAAATGTAGCATGGTCAGGGTGTGATCAGACTGTACTGTGTGTGTCTCAAACAGACTGAGATGGGGGCAACGAATCCATCTTACTGCATGAAGAGGGCACACTAGCTGTTGAAGGGGTGACCCGTAATATACAGACAATGTCACCACTGCCCTACTTCCCACTGGTGAGGAACTATCCAAGGTCCACCATCCCAGTGGTTAGGAACTGGTAAGTGGCAAGGGTCTTGCATGCTCCACTTGATGAATGGGGGAGATTTCAGAGAAAAGTCTGGATCCCAATGAATGCCTGCTGGAAAAGACTTTTACTGGAGGCAGTGCAATGGTTTACTGCAAAATCCTATTTTGAAAAGCCAGTAAGTGTGAACCAAAGAAGTAGGCAGTCATTTCCTTGATGCCAATTTTTTTCATGATAGTCCATGGAATGGTATGGTCTGGATCAGGCAATAGAGCAAGTTTAATACCATGAGGATATCTCTAATGGTTTTGAAGAACACCCTATCATGATATTGGTAAAGCCAGACAGTGGGAGACAAACATGTGTGGGTTCATCCACACACCAGCCTGAATGATCTTGTTCAAGGGTTAATGAAAATGAGGTGCAAGGGAATAAGTTAGGTGATGAATTTGATATGACAAAATGAGAAAAAGTCTATGAGAATAAAAGAATACATCAACTGGAGGAGTTGGCAGACTTATCCAGGAAGAGTAGGAGGTGATAGGCTTTTGAACAAAGAGGTGTCCCAAAGTAAAAAATGATCCAGGTCTTAACAAGCATAGACATGACAAAAGATGGAAGGGGGATAGAAGAGAAAGAACAATCACCTTCCTGAGAAAGAAAAGCTCAGTCTAGTAGAGGAGTAAATAAGAATGTGGGAAACATTGATGGCCTGTACATTCAAACAATGGCAACAATAGATGAGAAGGTTTGGTTTGTTTTTAATTTTGTCCAAAATTACATGGGGGCTATCTGCACTAGCCATACCTAATTTAGCAATGAAAGCCTAGAGGAAAGGCAGCTTGACATCACCACCCACCACCAACTCTTGAGCTACTCTTTTACCAATGAATAGAGGGATTGACTGAAACATTATAATGCCCCCACAGCTGAAAGGGAAAGCTGTGGGATGGAGGGATGGGGAATCAAAATTGCGACTCTCAGATTGCAAGTCAAATGCCACCTAGCCATGCCAGGCCTAGGCAAGAAGGAGAAGGAAGTAGATATTTAGAAAATTATGGTATAAAGAACAAGAAGCCAATGGACCAAACAGAACATGTGTGATAGTGTGTAGAACCACATTAAGGTCCCAGTCAGGCATGGGAGTTAGATGAAGGGGTCAATGAAGAAGGAAGGATAGGAACAAAGTGGAAAGAATAGAGGAAGAAAACATTTCGTGATTACAGGAAAGAAAATATGTAGTTGACAAAGCAGCCCAATAACCAGATATGATAGAGATTGACATTCCATGGTCCAAAGACAATGTGAAAAAGGCCAAAAGGCAGACTACAGTAAGACAGCCCAGAGGAAATAGTGACAGATGGCTCAATGTTGAAAAAATTGCCACTTCCATTGACAGATGGACAAAAGGAATGGGAAAAGAAAAAGGTTGCACATTCAGAGTCTGACTTTAGGGCAATGTCTGGACAAATCTCACATGTGAAGATTAAGCTACAACACATTTGGGTGAAAAATAGGTGTGTCAGGTTGGAGCAAGAGAAATGATGAGCAGAGGAAGAGGAGGCCTGGATTCCAGTTGACGAAGCAGAGAAAACCAGGGTTGTGCTAGCCACGGAGGTACCACCAAGAAGACATAATAAAGAGTGTTGCATATCATGGTGAGGACATAAGGGAGGAGACAAAGAGAAGGATATCAGAAAAAGATGAGACCAGTTCTGGCTGACAGCATTAACTGTCAGAGCCAAAGAATGAGGAACTGGGAACAAGAGAAGTGTAAGTTTCTTGTCGAGAGGAGTGACAAAGACATCGATGAAGGGCATGCCCAAATGAGAGCAAACCCAACAAAACATCTGAAGGTGGAGAGACCACTCTGTGGGTAGAATCCAGTCTGGCCAAGAAAAGTAATCTGCTACTAGGTTCAGAGCCCCTGGCATATGACAAGCCATGAGACATACTTGATTGGAATGAGCCCAAAATAGTAGGTCCAATGCAAAGAAGCAAAGAGTCCTGAAACAGCTACCTCCCTGATGATTCATATAAGAAATGACCACAGAACTGTCAAAATTGATCATGACCAACTGATCGATGAGAAGAGGTAGTAAATGAGAACATGCATGATGAACAGTGTCAAGTTTGAGTATGTTTATATGGAATGAATGATCCTATGGAGACCACATAAACAAACTCATATCATTGTTCAAAGATGCACCCCAGCCAACAGAAATCAATCCACCAAGACAAGTCCTTAAGAAGAGAATAGAGGCTCACAAGCCAGAGTTCTTAAATGCAAAAGAACCTTGTGCATACAGGTGATGAAGTGAAGGTTGAGCCCAATAGAAATGAAGAGTTTAAAAATATGCCCAAATGAACCAAGTATTGGGTAGGCATGAGAAAAGATTTGGAATGCTTGACTAGCCAGTCTAGTTGAACAGCATCTTGCAGACGAAGGGATATGTGAGGGAAGGAGTCTTCCCAAGAAGGGGTGAAGGGAGGCCAATTGTCCACACAATAATGGAACCTCAGCACCAATTTGTAAGTATGGTGGGAGATGTCCCCATGACTCGATTAAAAATGTAAGGAGCAGACACAATGTCAAAATAAACAGCATGAAACTGGAAAACTCGATTCTGATGAACAAAATGTTTGGAGGATGGGGCAATCAGAATATGTAAAAACGTCCAATACGTCAACCTTGGTCATCCACAGACTGGGTGAAAATGGCTACCAGAGAGAGAAACTCTCTCTCTCTCGAACTGTGGAACACCCAGAAATTGGTTGAGAGACAATAGGTTGATAAACAGGCACCAGTCCCTGGACCACAAAGAGACAAGTGCAATAGTTCAGAGTAAGAGATTAAAGAAATCCAAGACTGCATCCTCGAGACACTGAAGATAAACAGGTTCAGAGGAAGGAGGAAAGGAAATGGGTAAAGGGGTGGAAGAGAAGAGAAGTGGAGAGATAGACATTGGATGAGAACAGGAAGAACCCATCTGTCAGCTGAAAATGGAGACCAAAGACTGCCAAAGTGAGACAGATGGGCACCCACTGGGCCAGATCCAATAGGATGGCCACAACATTGGTGTTCAGAAGTGCAAGGACAGGAAGAAGATTAGAAAGCTGGAATGGAAGGAGAGATGTAGATTGAGCAGCCATTGGAACAGGAACAGAAGGGTAAGGTTGAAAAAGACATGAAATTAAGGAAGAAAACAAGAAATGATGCCTGGCCACCTTGGGCTGGGTCTCCAGGGAGTCAGGAACACCCCTAAAGCCCTCTGAGTAAAGACAGGTGAACATCAGTAGGAAGAGCATCATCTCAACCCAACAAGTCCCAACAGCAGAGTAAGCAAGTAATAAACGATAAAGCAGAAGATGTAGTACAGGCTAAAGTGATTAAAATAAAAGAACAAACATTTTCAGAAAACCATTCTACACCACAATGATGTGCTTCAGAAATAATGTGAAGGGATAAAAGGTAATGTAGGAGAGTGGTACGAAAGAGACAAAAGTATGAAAACTGGGCACTAGAAAGTGAAGTAGAAGTTAAGGAATCTGCCTCCCCCACTCCAAAGTAGGTGAAAGAGATTACAAAGACTGGGAATCAAGGAAAGGAAATGAAGAATGGTTGTAAGCCAGAATGAAAGAGACAAGTAGGAGAGGAGGACCAGACATGTGAGTATGGGTGTGCAGTTTTTCAAAAAAAAACAAGTCTGCACAAACCATAATATCAGGTGAAGGGAGAAGACAAAGTAATCTTGAGAATGGGTTTCATGTTGTAAAGAATAGGAGGAGTCGAAAGTCACTGGAGAAAGGGAAAGAAAATAACATACCTGTAAAATCATATATAGAAAGAGATTAGAAGTTTGAGGGTTTTCTTCCACAGATAAAGCAGTATCTAGAACAAACCCTGGTAGAAGAAAAAGGTGGTCAAACCCATCGTCATCCTCATCACATTCAAACTGAGGAGTAGGAATGTCAGCCAAATGAATGGGAGGAGGAGGCCCAGTGTGCATGAGGAAACCAGCAACACATTAAACAATGTCTGTCACATTCTCTTCAGACGAACATCCAATAGCCACAGTAGATACAGATCCCATGTAAAATCGTCACTATCACAGAAAGAAGTAAAAGTTACCATCACTTGAGAATTCATAATAGGTATGCAAAAAATTATTTTTCTTGTTTATTTTAATAATAAAAGAAATCAGTTAAACTTGAACAAAACTTAAATTTTGTTAGTTATCGCAAATCTCACATAATTAACAATATGTTTAAAAAATACATCTGTTCAAGACAATGCTGAGGAAAGAATGAAGTTATTTTGAGTGCAAGTGGTTAGGGAAGTTACAGAGCAAGGAGGTTACATCACCCTCCTATTGATGGAGGGCTATTGTCACATGATGATGTCATTGTGCAATAGCACAGTTCACAATAAACACGTGATTCTTAGGTGGGAGTTAGTTTAAGGCTAGTGGCATCCAAATCTTATAGACAAATGCACATGGGTTCAAGCTATTCTGTGTGAAACTGGGAGATATCATCTTGGAATTGTAAACTACATTTTGATACTACATATACTGGCATACACTGATAATAAATTTGCTCAAATGAATTTTGAATGTAACTCTCTACATCCACACATTGACCTTGTCATATACACAGGGCTGTATAAGATAACTAGTGGGTTAACTCATTAGTTCACCTGATAATTTTTTGTCATGCAACAGATCTTGAGTTCAATCCTGAGTACAGGATATGCAAAGATAGGATTATTTCACTTATAAAGTTTTTCTTTTGATGTTTTATTGCAATATCAGTGAAGTTTTTTAACACTTCTCATTAGGTTACTCTCAGAAATGAAAGGAGTAATAAAGTTAAACACTTATCTATTTCCTTTCATTCCTGTATATTTTATTGTAATGTATGTTTTTTAAAATAATCTTTAAAAACAAAAACATTTATTCTACATCATACTCGAGTGATGTTCAAAATGTAACATGTATACATTGAAAATTGAAATTTAGTTTTTTTTACCTGATCTTCTGGTATTTTGTCAATTCGATCACGATCCATCATAGGAAGAGGTTTGCATCCCATCTGTTTTTCTTTATCTCCCTACCAATAAGCAACATCACATCCAATGAATGTTTTAAGAATTTATGAGATTTAGAAGAGTGAAAATTTATTACTAAATGGTTGAACGACTGTGTAATAACGAAGTGATTTAACCAAAAGGATTTAAATTTTATTTTTTGCTTCAACTAGATATCTACAACCTCCAACATACTTATGTGTACTTGTAAAAAACAAAACAGTTACGTACAAGATCTTACTAAAAAAGTGACTAAATGACAATTATGTAAGTTCACATATTTTGGCAGAGTATAAGTATCATCATGAATAACAGTTTTTAATGGAATGGTTTGTACTTTAAAACTTTGGGAGAATATTATTTCATTTCCCATATCCATTATTATTAATACTGTGGTATCTGTCCTTGTATATTAAGAGTTCTAATTACATATTATTTACAAGTTATTATTTATTTTTATTTTTTTCACCCACCCTGTATATTACAAATTCTGCAATTACTATTCATTTGCTTTGTTTGTTTGTTTATTTTAGAGCACTATGTCCACTGCTGGGAATCAGACCCCAAATTTTTGCATTGTAAGTCTGTAGACTTACTGCTGTCCTACTGGGGACTATTCATATGCAACAGTTTGTAATACAAATTATCATATGATACTGTCAACTAAAAGCAAACGTTATATCTTTCTACTATATTAATTTCATGATATCTAAAAGACTACTACTGCTCACATTTTTGTTTTTACATAGCTTGAAATTTTATAATTTCAAATAAATTATGCTCATGCTCACTGGTAACAAGTTGATTTCTGAGTTACTTGGCTAAATTCCTAAAAAAGAAAGTCTGAGAACATAATACTAATATGTCATACGACCTATATAAATACATATAATATGTACTACAAATATAAGAAAACATGCTATATAATCATATTATGTTTTGGTTGCTTGATGAATTAAATTTTAAAGTTCTTCAAAATAAATGCTAAAAATTATAAAAATAACAGTTGAAATACTTAAATATGCAGGTTATTTTTCATTGCTGTTTTGTTACATTTTGTATTATCAATGCAAAAAATACATAAACTACTTGTTTGGTACATGTAAATGTTTTTTTTAATGCTATGCATTGTGCTATTATACATTATAAAATTTTGTGGTTACAGATAGAACCTAGTCTGATCTGTCCACTGAAGTCCCTTCCAATTAAATGATTTTTGAAACTGAAGTATCAAGTTGTTTTTTATACTATCACACCTAAAACGCTTTTTTTTTATTTCCAAAGAAAAACAAAAGACCATATAGTCCTCAAAGGCTGTCCTTGGAAAAAGTAAAAATTTACAATTATTATTTTCAGGGAATCATTGATTATCTTATTTAAATCCAGATGTCTTATATTGAAGACTAGAATACTACAAGTCAGGAACAAAATTAGTATCTTCTCTAAAAACATAAGAGAAAACACTTAAAAGCTCAGCCATTTCATAATCTTCATTTTATATCTTAGTAAAATTAGTAGTGCTATTACAGGATGCACTCACTTTCATCCGTATTTGCAAAATGTATACCCAACCATTCTTAGATTATGGTTGTATTGTTCCCTTTCTAGGCATAATATATTTTAAAAAACTGCAGATTCAACAAAACTGTGCCATTCACACCACAATCCACCTCTGAAAACCTGGTAATCTCCACAAAATCTCTACTTTTCCACCATTTAAAAAAATGTCTTTCTCCCTAGCTCTTTACTTCACTTTGATTAAGCAGCCAAGCAAAATCCTCTCTCACTGCTGAATTTTGTTTCTTGGCCTGCACAAAGTCTATATTCCTGAAAGAGATATAATCCTCCTCCAAAAATCTTAAGCCCTCAAATGATTTCTTTCTTTTGTTGTTTACACTACCTCTTGTTCATGAAATTGATCTTCCACATCTAAATCAAATGCTGGGTGAAAAGAGTTTTCTGTTCTTAAAACTCATGGTTTATACATAAATACCTACCATGCAGTTTAGCCCCTTTTTCAACAAAAAATCAGCAACTTTTAAGGGTCCAATCCCCATTTTAATATTTTGCTTACCTTTAATACATTTAAAAAAAATCCTTTTTTCTCAGATTTAAAATTATCAGCCTACCACTTCTCTTAAGCCCTTAAAAAAAGATTACTTAATTTTTTTAATCCCATCCCTAGCTTTTCCATAGTTCTGTAAATATTCAATCCTGTCAGTCATTTTAAACTTATTTAACTAATGGTATTTATGCCTGATTTTCTCCTTTGTACCTTTAGTATGCCAATTAGGTTTGATCTTTTCAGGAACATACCTATTCTTTTTCTGTACTAAAGCAGATAAAGACATCTTTCTGCACTGGTGTTACTCTCAAAAGAGAAGGAGAGATTCTCAAATCTGCAGAAAAAGAAAGCTAACAACATTTACCATTCAGTGATAGAAATCTTTGTCCAGAAAGACAGACTTCATTTATAAATGAGTATGTAAGTAAAATTTAACCTTTCATATTTATTATCATTATCACTGCTGTTTTCCATGTGTAATACAACTTTCTACTCGTAACTATTTCTGAAATGCAAATGTGCAATGCAAACTATTATTTTGGTATTTCACTGATTTGTGTTGTGCAAGTTTACCATTGAGCTTAAAAGGAATTGAATATGACAATGGGGAATGCTTAAAAATGGTCAGTATTAAAGCATAATTTTCTTTATACATATTTGAAATTGTAATTTGTCTTGTAGCTGATGGTTTAGCTATTACGTTTGTATTTATTCTTTATCATGTGGTGCTGTGATTACCAACTGAAATAGCTAGTTCTTTATAGTTTTACACAACATATACTGTTTACTAAGTCACTACTTCAACAGCTATTAATATTATTTTTGATGTCATTACTTTCCAAATACCAGTTCAATATGACCACAAATTCTCAATTTTTTTAAATTTACATTATTATATGGAGTTTTGTTCTTCAAGTACATACCTGGGTATAGAATTCTTCAAGAATTGAAGGTAAAATTCTTTGGTAATCCTCCCAGACTTTGCAGTTTGAAGCCAAATCACAGCAGGTCATCATCACTGGTATTAGAGTATTTCTACATATTACCATGTATGTGTAAGAATTACTTGAACAGATAAAGCTTTTATAATAACCACTGAAACCTACAGCTACAAGTTACACAAAGAACATTTTTAAAGAATGAACAAAAATTTGATAGGTTAAATTTTGGTATGGACACTTATTCTAATAAAGTGATGTAGCTCTCCAGCAGAATTTGATTTCTACTATTTTTTATCAATCAAACCAATACTATCATGGTAAGACATTAGTCCCACACTTATGGATTTTTATGCTTTGAAATACATCATTAAGGTTTAAAACAAACAAATGTGAATTTCAAAACTGATTTTTTTGTTTGTTTGCCAATAAAGAGCATTAGCTTTAGCATATATGAAACAGAAGATACTGTGATGGTTCTTGCTGGAAATCTAAAATATCCTTCTTATCCTTACATTCGTTTCAAGAAAATGCTCTTTGTTTATAGAGGTAACTTTTACGTGTAAGGAAAAGGTATATGTATTAAAAAAAACAGTTAGAAGCAACAGACAGATTAATTAAACTAGGAAAAACTCCTATGACAATTTTTTTAAGACTTACCTGCAGTCCTGCTTTGTCAAATCGAATGTTCCAGTATCCAACAATCGCTTTAGTTTATCATTGTGTTTCACATAAAATGCAAAATCAGTTCCTAATATTGCATCCTTGATAATATGAAGGATCTGAAAAAATATGTTGTTGTTAACAATAGAGAGTTCAAACAACAAAGCTTTTAAACATTCTTTTTGCATTACATTTCCAACACATTTAAGTAAGAAAAACAATGTTTGTGATCAAGTTTTCAGATTCTTATAATGTATGGTAGTTCTGTACATGTTTAACGAAAACAAAAATTGTTTTCTTCTATATTACAGTTATCCTGCAGTTACATCCATTTAATGAGTTCCAGTGTTTGTTACTAACTTGATAACCATGACTGAAAGCATTTCTAAATTTTTTGTCCCCTCCGGATGACCATAAAAAAACACTACTTTGACTCAAAAAAAATAACTAATTTTTATTTCGCATTCATCTTCATAAACGTTTCTTACTGCGTATTCACTTCCAACAGTAACACAATGAATAACAAATAATTACATCTGTTATGTAATCATAATATTATGTGATATTAATTATCATTATAAGTTCATCATCAACATACTTGAAGCTTCAAGAAACTTGAATGGATGTTTTCATCCATGCAAAGTCTAATTTGTATGAAAAACATTTGAAGTGAAGCCTATTCTAGAAGACACATATATGTTCTTATCTAGTTGTAAATGGTCTTTAACAACTGTTGCCACTTGGTTTGGTTTTACAAAAGGACTATACATTAAAACCAAACAAACTTCTTACATTCCACCACTATGAGCCCTAATTTGTTTATTTTCTTCACTCTTCCAAATAGCATTTATGAGCTGTGAATCATCAAAATTATTCTGCTGCAGTGTAAATAGTGAATCTTTTCTTCATGAAGTTCATGTTTTGATAAGTTAAAGAAATCCACTGTTTTTATATTTATATTTATAAGAATTTATATTTTCTTAAATGCAAAGCTGTGCCATGGAGACTTTCTGTGCTGTGTCCACTGCAAGGATAAGACCCTGAATTTTAGCAATTATAAATCCTCAAGTTTATTGCTGAGCCACCAGGGGGCAAGAAAATAATTAATATATGAGAATCTAAGAAAAGAAGTAAGTAGCAGTATTTTTTTATTTAAAAATAAACACATAACTCAAACTGAGATCAGTACTAGGAAGATGAATTTTACATTATTGAAAACTTACAAGATTGTTACAGTTTTTTTAAATATTACATATAAAAATATTGAGACTTCACAGCTTGAAAATGGGTTGGGGTGCTGTATGAATTTGGCTCATTCATAATTTTACTGCCTTCTAACTTGAACCACCAAACATTAGCACAAATCTGATGGAATAGACCACCATTACTGTTAAAGCTTCAGCAGTGTTCCATATATCTCTGAGTAGTTCAATAAGATTTAGGTTAAAGCTCTGGGCTAACCAAGGTAGACTCTAGACATAATTTGCTTCAAACTCTTACATGATAATTTGGTAAATTATACTGCAAAAAGACGTACGCTTTTTCTCTATATGATACTTTCAGTGCATACAGTGAAGCAATGTTCAGAATGTCAAAAATAATCCATTCATGACTCATAACTGCAACCAGTGGAAAACACCAATCCACATTTGATAGGCCAGTGTCACTCTTCAGAAGTTGGAATGACACACTCACATTCAAAATATTCTTTACCTTGCCAGTAAACCTAGACTCATTCATCAAAGCAGAAGTGAAAGAAGGATTTACCACTTGTCATGATAGTGTTTCATTATTATATAACTTACAGTATCACAGTTGAAACCTTTAGTAAGGTTATGTGTTCTGCATGTATCTAATGACATCATTGTAAACTGAATATTGAATGGCTGTAAACACATACTAAAGTGAATTATTACATAAAAGTTACAACAATAGAGGTTTGTACTAGTTTGAACCTCTGTCTGTGTATAATTCTTGGGATTGGGCAGGTCCATCTCAAGAGGTGACACAGACACTTGTAGAAGTTGGGGATCCACTCATTTGTAAATGTTACTTGGAACAATCATTAATTAGATAATATATAACCAAATGGCACAACTAGTCCAGTCAAACAAATGTTGGATCTCTGAAGGAAACAAGAGCATGAGTGACACAGCCCCTGCTTCAAATAAGATTTCAATGGTTATTGGTTTCATGAATGACCATATCCTATCATCAGATGTGAGTGTCATTCAGATAAATATTGTGACAAAATGCATCTTACTCCTTAGATGAGCTATAGCTATTTCAGCTAATTTAAATCAAAGGAACTGAGTTAAATCTGACTGCTAACTTGGCTGAGTGTAGTAGTCAGCTGGCACACAACATCATGGTGGAAGGTTCAGAAAATTGTGGAGTAGGCATCATGTGGTTTGTGCCCATAAAGATACATGGGTACAAAAATGAGTGCTTAGTAGGTAATGGAGCAGCCAGAACCTTACTCGACTATATCATGCATCAAGCATTCCATGGAAAGCAACTAATATGTACAGTGATCACCAAATTCATTTTGAAAAATAATGAATGAAGGTAATTCTCTCTGATATGGGTTCAGACACTTGTATCTTAAAGATGAATCTTCTACAGAAATTGTCAGTCACTTTTGCTTGGGAAACAGCAAAACTGTAGTTCTGCAGCAAAAACCATCCAGTGCCTGAAAACTGTGGTCTGCACATATGTACCTTGAAAAGGATGTAGAAACACCCTCTCAGGTACAAGTGGTAATCCATAGTTTTATGGATACAGTTTTGTATGCTAATGATGTGACAGAACTGATGCAAGAAACACACAGTTTTATGTCTGGTAAACTGGATGCACTTGGTGGAATGGTGATCTCCTCAGCACAATGTCTTGTAACAGTGTAATATGTAACAAAAGACATCCAGCTCTTTAGCTTCCAACTGGAATGATCATCAGTATGGTATCAGAAGCAGAAGTGAAACAATTTAGCTGAGTAGCTAGATTTGCTGCCACCTTATTATATCTGAGAACAAATGTGCAACTACTAGAGTACTGATAATTGAAACTGTGCATTCATAAAAGTGTAAATGGAGTTTCTTGACCACATAAGTTAGGAGAGATAGAGTATGCACTGATCCTGCAAACATTGGAGTGGCCCAAGACTGGTCCCTACTTCCTAATAAATAAGAAATCTGCAACTTTCTAGGTTTTGTGTATTATTAACAATGGTTTGTAGCCACTTTTTTCCAATACAGCTGCATCACTATCAACACTGGCCAAGGTTGACGTGTGGTTTGTGTGGGCATATCAAGATGTATTACAGTCCATGAAGTGCACCTTACTCAAAGTACTGGTATTGGCTTTTGGTTATCAAAATTGTTCATTCATCATATGTACAGGATGATATAGACATAGTAATTACATATGTAAAATGTATATTAACTTTTACTGTACGACAAAGAAAAGAGTGCTTGCACCTGTAGAATTTGTTGAACATTACTGTTATTATATGATACAAAATCAACATTTGAGTGAACCAAAAATATGTCATTGAAATGGCTAATGAATATAAAAAATTTGAAAGGTGTGACTGAACATTGGATAACAAGGCTGCAACTGTACAAAGAACAATACCATCTAGGTCATCACTATGAAATGCTGATGACTTATCTCTCTAGCTTGTGAGATCATTTCTGTTCATTGAACATTCAGATCCTGAATACCATAAGTGCTTAAAGCCATTGCAGCACCAGTGACGATGAACTATATGGGGAATACAATTCTACATTTGGATGGGCATCATGTATGACCAATTAGGAACTTTGGAAAAAGCAACTGGAGGACCCAGACCTATCATGAGTGCTATTTGCCATGTGCAAGATAACAAGTACCCATCACAAATTGACATATGTAGTAATGATGCACACAGGATGATGTGTTATTGTTATGAGCCAATGAACCACTGAAACGTGATAGCCAACATATGATGTAGTAGTAATGCCCATGGATCTAAGGCTGGAAGTGTTTTAAATTTTGCATAATGAATGGACTTAAGAGCTAATGCTGTAATAAGGATTGTTATGAGCTACAGCCAGTTAGTGATTAACAATTAATAAATGATTAGTTCTACATTAGCATACACAGTGATATTCCATTTGTTCAGCACCCTATTCACAGTACATATGGGTATGAGTAAAGAAGATGAAATTTCATAGACAAATAAATCACCAAAACTTCATATATAAACAACTCTCTTTGAAGGTACATGAATTTCTTTCTTGACTCCAATAGATTCCTGTAACAGCTGCTGAATTTATCAAGAGAGCATGGCATTATAGGTTTTATATGCAATTTCAGTGGAAACAGATCTATTACTAATGGAGTGTGTGTTAGTCAAGAACAGACAAGAGTTTCCTACTAATAATATACAGCTATGTTACAAATTATGTCCTGGAAACAAGTGTCAAATGTATTCAATTAATAGAATAAGTAATATGAAGAAAATTAAGTTCAGGCTTGGGTGCAAGTAACAGTTTCATCAAAGAAAAGAAAAGGGATAAAGGTTTTCATAGTAAGTTCAGATAGCATAATTCTGTAATATTTACATAATGTAAACAAGTTTCATATATTTTGATCAAGTATTAAGTTGATAAAAACATTAATTAATTACATATTACAAACTATAATGGACCTAGAAATAAACAGTGAAATACAATCTCAAATAAATGTTTGGTTTTAATAATAATTCTTTGCCTAAAATGTTTTCAACTAAGTAAACAAAATGCCAAATTAAGCATAAAAGTTTTAAAATAAAATGGTCTTTCAAGATAGAAAGTTAAAATCGTTATTTTCAAGATATTAATGATAAAACTTGAATTTCAGTTTTAACTTCTTGTTTTTAAAGTATTTTTTTGCTGCTTTTTAAACTATTTTAGTCTTTTAGTGTTATTATAAAAACCAAGTGAAAATGTATCTTCTGAAAATAAACATGTGATAAACTAAACAAAATAGCTGTTACGAACAATACAATGCTTATCAGCAAATTACAACATAAAACAAATCATACCATAACTCTGTTTACAGATGAAAGTAATTATTTTTACTCAATAGATAAAACAAGTATTACAATTTTGGTCTAAGATTTGGTAGTAACGTTTTCTATGAAAAGAATAAAAAATATAATATTGTTGCGTCAGCGAGGTCACGTGACTAGTGTCACGCCACCTCTCGAACCTTCGGGAATAGTCGGGAGAT